GGGGTCCCGGGTGTGGGGTCCTGGGTGGGGTCCTGGGTGTGGGGTCCCTGATGTGGGTCTTGGGTGGGGTCCTGGGTGCCGTGACCTGGTGGGTGCCGGGTGTGGGGTCCCAAGTGTTGGATCCTGGGCATGGAGGCCTGGGTGGGCTCTCAGGTGTGGGATCCCGGGTGTGGGGTCCTGGGTGTGGGGTCCTGGGTGTGTTCCCAAGTGGAGGTCCCATACCCCCCTCCCCCTGACCCCTCTGTGTCCCCCCCACAGCCGGCTCTGATCCAGCGCGGCCGCTTCGGGCGCTTCCTGGGCAGGGTCCGGCGCTTCCGGCCCCGGATCAAGTTCAACGTTGGCATCAGGGGCTCCGTGGGCTTAGGCTGAGCAATAAAGGGCCGGGAGAGGCCGTGTGGGCACCGGGATCCTCCTGCCTCTGTCACGTGGGAAAGGGTGGCACAGGGGGCTGCTCCCCCACACCGTCCCCAGGGAATGTGGGGTCGGGAATGTGGGGTCAGGGATGTGGGAACAGGGATGGGCTCACTCTGGGCACACCCCCAAAAAAGAGAACATTCATATCCCACCCGGCGTCATTTCCACGGTGTCATTGTCCCCTTGGGATCATCATCCCCACGGCATCTTGTCCCCCCCAAAACCAGTGGTGACAGCAAAGGAAGGTGGGGGGACACATGGGGACATGGGGAGACATTGGGGCTGTGACCCCCCCAGGGAGCTGCAAGGGAAGGGTCGTGGGGGGTTCAGATCCCAAGGGGATCCCCACGATGGATCCAGTCTGGGATGGGGACACTGGGGGTGAAGGAATGTGGGGCTCAGGGACCCCTGTGCCCCAAAAGTGGCCAGAGCAGGGTTGTGGCTGCAGCTCCTGGGGGTGTCCCCTCCTCTCCCCCCAACATCCCCGTGGGTCTGTACCCCACAGAGACCCCTGTGGGGACCCTACAGCTGGGACAGGCTCTCAGGGGACCCCCAAGATGTCCCAGGATCAGGGAGGGCAATCCTGGGGGCACAAGTCCTGTGCCAGGATGACGTCCCGGAGCCAGCGGTGCCTGTGGGGCCAGGACAGTGCTGTGCCTGTTTTGGGGGGGCTGATCCCACTCCCCCCAAACTGAGACCCTCTGCCATCAGCATCATTCCCCCCCCCCATGTCCCAAACTCCCTGTGTGGCAGGAAATGGCACAGCAGGGCTGGGAAGCAGCTTGATTTGGGGAGGGGGTGTCGGGGGGGTCCCTGAGGTGGCAGCACTTCCAGGGGGGTCTCTGCCTCGTCACAGCCTGGAAGAGGTGGGAGGGGACCCCAAACCTGCCCCGGTGAGTGCCCCCCACTCGTGACACCCCCCACTCATGACCCTCCAACCCCCAGGGTGTCCCCCAGCCCTCGGAGCCCCTTGTCTGGGCGTGGGGGGAATTTGGGGGTCCTGGGAGCCCTCTGGGGGCCCCACTGGGGTGCAGGGGGAGGGGACAGCACAGGGACCCTCAGGGTGACACCGGGATCGATGCAAGGACGTTTATTGGCAGCAGAGCACCCAGATCAGGGCCCAGGGTGGGGGGACACAGCAGTGCCCCCTCAGGGTTTGGGGACCTGGAGGTTCAGCTTGTCACGGATCCAGATCCGACTGCACTGGAAGATCCTCTGGAAATGATCTTTGATCCTGGTAAAGAACTCCTTGACCTTGGATCTCCGGATCCGGCCGATCTGGGAGGACAAACAGCAGTGTCAGAGTTTGGGGGGATGAGGAGGGGGGTCTGGGGGAGTCGGGACCCCCATCCCGGCCCCTTCTTACCTTGGTGGGAGCCTTCCCACAGGAGAGCTCCACTATGGGCTGCTGCTCCTCCAGGAACACGGAGCCCTGGCACCAGGTCAGCGCCTGCGGGGACACCGAGGGGACACGGGACAGCCTGAGCCCCCTGGGCCCCAGTTCCCCCCCGCTGATCCCAGTTCCCCACGGGATCCCCAGTTCCTCACCCCGAGCCAGCGGCTCCTGCAGCCCGTGGTGGCCGTTCCCGGGCTCCGGCACGTGGTCTCCTCCAGGGTGAAGCTCAGCTCCTGCCGGCTCCGCAGGTCCCAGGGCTGGGAGAGGGGACAGGACCCATCAGGGACCCCCCACCCGCAGTGCCCAGCCCCCACCGGGCCGGATCCAGCCCCAGGAGGGGCCACATCCAGCCTGGAATGGGTCCAGCTCAGCCCCGTGGGAGTCAGACCCCAAACAGGGTGGATTCGCCCCAAGAAAGGTCGGATCCAGCGCTGAGCTGGATCCATCCCCTGAGCCTGGAGCTGTGCCTGGAAGGGGGGAGCAGAGCACCCACCCATCCTGGCCGGGGCTGGGCCTCCCGCAGCCGCAGCACGTAGGGACTGACGGCCCTGGAGTTGAGCAGCTCCACGGCCGCCGCCACCGCGGCCTCGTAGCTCACGGTCCCGGATCCCGGCGAGGACGTTGGGATGGATCCGTCCCACACCACTGTGGATCCATCCGTGGAAGCTCCCACCAGCCCCAGCAGCAGCAGCAGCGGCGCAAGCACCCGGCACAGCCCCATCCTGCTCCTGCTTCCCACCGGGCTGGAAGGGCTTTTATGGGACCTGCCGGGGGCGTTCCCGTGGGATGCGACACTTGGGACTTTCCCAGTGGGATGAGTCTGGCCAGGAGCCCAGTCCAGCCCCCACAGGTCAGTGGGGACGGGTGTGTGGGGTCACCTGTGGGTCAGCGGGGAAGAGGCCACAGGGTTTGGGGCCCCCCTGCCGTGGAGGGGGACAACAAGGAGAGTGTGACAGGTGTCAAGAGATGGATGGAAAACCATCCCAAAATACCCAAAATATCACAAACTATATAAGACTTACATCTGATAAAAATAAAAAGGAAACCAGATGGCGAATTGACAAGAAACCTCCATTTCTCTCCCTGTTCCTGTCACCTGTAGATCTTGTAGAATTTGGGATAGTTTTGGATATTTTGGGATGGTTTTCCATTCATCTCTTGACACCTGAGGGGTTAAAAGAGGGTAAGAAAAAGAAGAGAAATAAATAATAAAAAAAAAAAAGGAAACCAGATGGAGAATTGACAAGAAACCTCCATTCCTCTCCTTGTTTTTGTCAGCCATAGATCTTGTAGGGTTTGGGATATTTTTGGATGGTTTGGGATGGTTTCCCATCCATCTCTTGACACCTGAGGGGTTAAAACAGGACAAGAAAAAGAAAATAAATAAATAATTGTCAATTGAAAGCTGTTGGGATCTGTCCCCTCTTCCAGACCTGCGGAGCTTCACCCTGGAGGAAACCACGCTCTGTCCACAGGGAACTGGGATCAGCGGGGGGGGAACTGGGGCCCGGGGGGCTCAGGCTGTCCCGTGTCCCCTCGGTGTCCCCGCAGGCGCTGACCTGGTGCCAGGGCTCCGTGTTCCTGGAGGAGCAGCAGCCCACGGTGGAGCTCTCCTGCGGGAAGGCTCCCACCAAGGTAAGAAGGGGCTGGGATGGGGGTCCCAACTCCCCCATACCCCCCTCCTCATCCCCCCAAACTCTGACGCCGCTGTTTGTCCTCCCAGATCGGCCGGATCCGGAGATCCAAGGTCAAGGACTCATTTGCCAGGATCAAGGTGTGTTTCCAGGGGTTTTTCCAGTGCAGTCGGATCTGGATCCGTGACAAGCTCAACCTCCAGGTCCCCAAACCCTGAGGGGGCACCGCCGTGTCCCCCCACCCTGTGCCTCCATCTGGGTGACAGGAGGGGGAGCCGGGGGGGGGGTCGGGCTCTGCTCCCAGGGGACAAGGGACAGGAGGAGAGGGAACAGCCTCCAGCTGTGCCAGGGGAGATTTATTTTGGATATTGGGAAAAGTCCTCCTGGAAAAGGCTGTCCAGCCCTGGCACAGGGATGTGGAGTCCCCATCCCTGGAGGGATTTCAAAGCCCTGTGGATGTGGCACTTGGGGACATGGGTCAGGGGTGGCCTTGGCAGTGCTGGGGGAAGGTTGGGCTCTGTCTCAGAGGCATTTTCCACCCTCCACAATTCCCTGGCTGTCCGAGGACACATCCCTGGGGTTTCCCAGCCCAGGGCTGATTTATGGCCTGTCCCCCTGGGCGAACAAGGGGGGTTTGACCAAACACCTCCTTGGGAGCGGCCGCTCTGTCCCAGGCCCAGCAGGAAGCTCCAGGAGGACACCCCGGATCCATGTCCCGGGGATGACCCTCAGTCCAACCCCCCCAAAGCCACGCAGCAGGTTCGGAGCCGGGATCGCTGGAGGCCTTGGAGAACATCCTCGTAAATCACACGGGGACAAACACCCCGGGGGTGGCACTGGGAACTCCCCAGGGAGGGAGGGTGTCGGTCACAGCCCCACAGCACAACCCGGGGTGACCCCGGAAAGATCCAGGTGCCACCAGGTCCAGCCGTCCCTGGAGAAGGGACCCCGGGTAGGATTATCCTGAACCACATCCAGGTTCATCCTCCAGCGACGGGGACTCCTGGGCAGGTTCTTCCAGGGAATGATTGGTCTTGGTGTACCTCCTAAACCGAGGTGAAACCTCTCCCAGTGTCCGTTTTCCCTGATCTTCTCCAGGAGAGGAAACCTCTCCCAGTTTTCCCTGGTCTTCCTCTCCCTGTTTTCCCAATCTTCCCCAATTCCCTCCAAATTCTGTGTGATTCTGTGAAATTCTTCCCAATTCCCTCCAAATCTTTCCCAGCTCCTTCCAAATTGTTGCCCACTCCTTCCAAATTCCCTTAAAATTTGTCAATTCCTTCCAGCTTCCCTCCAAATTCTTCCCCATTCCTTCCAAGTTCCCCCAATATTCTCAAATTCCTTCTGATTTTTTTCAAATTCCAGATAAATTCCTGACAAATTCAATTCCCCTCCAAATTCTTCCTCATTCCTTCCCAATTCCCTTCCAATTATTCAATTCCTCCCAAATTCACTCCAAATTCCTTCCCAATTCCTTCTAAAACTCCTCAATTACTCCCATTTTCCCGACAGGTCCCCCTTAGGGTTTAACAGCAAGACAAACAGCCACAAAAGAGATTTATTTAAATTTGATTTTTCAGCACCTTTGCCAGCCCTGAGCCGGCTCCGAACAGCCACAAAATCCTCGGAGGCGACTTTGGGAATGAAAAAGGGAAAATCTGGTGAGTTTTCAGTGGGAAGTTTCTATTCCGAGGTGAACTCTGACCACCCTCTAAACCCTGAGCTGGGGAAATTCCTGCTCATAAATCCATCCCTGGGTTTATTTGCCCTTCCCGGATTGCGCTGTCCCTCCCCATTCCAGAGGTCTGTCTTGGACTCGTTCCCGGGAACGGAGCCATCGGACACTGATCCCACCCGGGCAGGGGTTTATGGTCCTTCTTATCCAAACAGCTGAAGGGAGGGCACGGCTGGGGCACCATGGAATGGCCTGGCAATGGTTTGGGCTGGAAGGGACCTTAAGGATCATCTTGTTCCATGGGCAGGGACACCTTCCACCAGCCCAGGGTGCTCCAAGCCCCATCCAACCTGGCCTTGGACTCTTCCAGGGATCCAGGGGCAGCCACAGCTTCTCTGGGAAACCTGTGCCAGGGCCTCCCCACCCTCCCAGCCAGGAATTCCTTCCCAATATCCCATCCAGTCCTGCCCTCTGGCAGTGGGAAGCCATTCCTTGTGTTCTGTCCCTCCATCCCTTGTCCCCAGTCCCTCTCCAGCTCTCCTGGAGCCCCTTTAGACCCTGCAAGGGGCTCTCAGCTCTCCCTGGATCCTTCTCCAGGGGAACTCCCCCAGCTCTTCCAGCCTGGCTCCAGAGCAGAGGGGCTCCAGCCCTGGCAGCAGCTCCGGGGTCGCTCCGTATCTCTCCGGCCCCTCCGTATCCCAGTTTCCCGTTCCGGGGGAAGCGGCGGGAGCGGCCCCGCGTTCCCATGGCAACAGCACGGGCCGCGTCCCCATGGCGACCGCGGCGCGCGGGGGGCGCGGCCTCCCCGTAAATACCCGCCCGCGCTCTTCCGGGTTAAGCCGCGCCCCCTGCACGGCGCGTCCTCCCCCGGACCCGGAAGTGGCGCGTTGGCCGCTCTCACTGGGCGCTGCCATGTTGGGGCGGCCGGAAAACATCCGGGCCTGCATCGGGCGCTGTGATTGGCGCAGAGCGGCACGTGATCTGCGGCGCCCGCTCCCATTGGACGGCGGCGCCGCTTCCGCGTCCGGGTCGGGCGGAGGTTCCGGGGGGGTCCTGGGAATGGGGACAGGGATGTGACCCACATGGAACAGGGACAAAGTGGCTCCCCGGCTCCCCCCTCCTGTCAGGGACTTGCAGAGCCAGAAGGTCCCCCCTGAGCCTCCTTTTCCCCAGGCTGAGCTGCCCCAGCTCCCTCAGCCGCTCCTGCTGCTCCAGCCCCTTCCCCAGGTCTGTTCCCTTCCCTGGACACACTTCCTCGTGGCTCTTCCTATGGCTGGACTCAGGGAGCTTCACTTCCTCCTCAGGGTCTGGTGCCACAACAATGTCCCCATGACAGAGTTTTGCTGATTGGAGTTTGTTTCACTAAAGAAGTTTAATGGAAAGATGGGAAATACAGGAGTGATCGGGCACATCCTGGCTGGAAAACACCAACCAGCCACCAGTCAGGAAGGACAGAAGAGGGGGAATGCCCTCCCACTGCCAGAGGACAGGGTCCAATGGGATATTGGGCAGGAATTCTTCCCTATGAGGGTGGGGAGGCCCGGGCACAGGTTGCCCAGAGAAGCTGTGGCTGCCCCTCCCTGGAAGTGTTCAAGGCCAGGTTGGAGCAACCTGGGATAGCAGAAGGTGTCCCAGCCCATGGCAGGGGGTGGGACTGGATGGGCTTTAAGGTCCCTTCCAATCCAAATGTTTCCATGATTCCATGATTCAATCCTCCCCTTGCTCAGTTTTATTTCCTTCTTTGACCCACACTGCTCCTCTCCTCTCCTTTCCTCAAAGTTTCCCATTCAATCCCACTTCCCCATAGGCCCCACATTCCCAGTTTTACACACCCCCCCTGCACTGTTTCTCCTCCCAGATCTCTCCCTGACAGGTTTCCCCAGGGACTCAAATTCCAGTTTTCCCCAGGAATCACAGCTGTATAATCTCCTCCACGCTGTTGATCTCGATGGTGATGGGCCAAATGCTATTCCCTTGGGAGAACCCCTGGAGCTCCAGCCTCTGGCACACAGAGTCCAACATCTGTCCGACCACCCGGCGCACCGCCCGGAACATGCCTTTGAGCGACGCCACCTCGGCTTTCCCGGATGCCGCACATCCCTCAGCATTCCGCTCGGCTCCAGGATCCCGGACCTGCCAGGTCCTCTGACCCTCCAGAGGCCTCACTCTGGCGGCTGACATTTGGGGTGAATCCCCCCCTCCCAAAATCCCCTGCGTGTCCAATGTCCCCTCTCCGGCGTTCCTGTCGCTCCGGAGGGCGCACGGCCCATCCCGATCCTTGGGAATACAATCCCCTCCATGCATCCCCTCCGCCGGAGCGCAGCATCGGGAGCCGGAACTCCAGGGAAACGCTGCCCTCCAGCAGGGCCGGTACCGCGGCAGGATGTCCTTGTCTTTCCGGAGGATCCCGCCCAT